AGGGATGAAATTCAACAAACACATTATTTTGTTTGGTAAAATGATGAACAAATATTAAATTTTTGCAAAGATTTGGAACACAGAGAGTATTACGTAAAAGGAAAGTTTGATTGGGGGAGTATAAAGCCAAAGAACCAATATGTAAGACTACCAAATCTGAACCATCACCATGAAGTATTTCGTCAGTGCCATCATATTCAAAATGAATAGATAAATTAAAAAGATCTCTTGTGATATTATGAGAGGCTACGGAATCAAGGAACCAATTTTTATCTTTGCTCGTGGATGCTGTGGCACGGTTTGCAAAAATATTTGAGGAATTTAAGTGGGAGTAGAACTTGGTAGTCTGACCAAACTGATCATAAAGTTGGCATTTGGGTTGATAGCGCCAATTGAAATTAGGAGACCTACCAATGTTGTAATTTGAGCTGCGTCTGTCATGATGAGCCCAATTAGGATTTCTTCCTGGACTGAAAGTGCGAGGCCCACGCTAAGAGTGTTGTCTATTGTGTCGTGACGATCCCTAATTATATCCTCCTTGCATGTACTGCTTTATTTTCGTGTAGTTGGCAGAGACAACCATGGTTTGTGTTGTAGTTTCCAGGCGTTTTAGATACGCCTCATGGCCAACCAAAAGATCATGTAACTCCTCAAAGGTTAGAGAGGACTTTTTGGCATGGATAGGTCCTGCAATCTCTCAAAAATCTAAACCTAAATCATTTAACACATAAAGTGTTAGGTCATCATCTGAAATTGGATGATTAATAATGGCTATTTCATGATTTGTAAAATCTTCTTTGATACCTTTACTCGTCATCATTCAAATTTCATATATTAATTGAAGTATGAAAACTAAAATCCTCAATAATTTTTAAACATAAAATAAATAATTTGTTGTTTTATTAGATTTGAGAAATAAATTTTGTTTCAACATGTGAACATTTTTTAAAAAATTAAAATTATTAAATTTGATTCGAGAATTTATTAAACTCAGTTTCAAGCTGGGAGGCTTAATCATGAATAATTTAAAAAAGTATTTTTAAGAAAAAATCAAAACAATATGTTTGTGATAAAAAAAAAATTATCTTTCCACAGCAAACTTAGTATGCCTAGGGTATTATAATTAATGCGCTAATTGAAGCTGCTATTTCTTTTAACACGCTTAGCATGCTTAGGTGAAGTGCTTCAATGTTTTCTGCAGGAGGCTCAGCAGTTACAGTAGGAAGAGCGGTCGGGTGTGGAAGCAACAATTTGACAGTTGTATGACCGTGTATATGTTGTATTTATATTGACTGATTGGAGGGCTCAAAGAAGTCTATGGTACAGCATGAGAGGAAAACAAAATTTCTTGTTCCATGAAGGCAAGGTTGGTTACATGCATAAAGCTCCTTGTCCAATATTGTGTACTAGGAGGGCGTAGGAGAACCATGGCTGGTGATGGTGATGGGAGAGATTTAGTTGATCATTCATATACAGAGAAAAGGAAGCAACAACAGAACATTTATGCAGTACCAGAAGCAAGAGTTATGCTCGCGGAAGGGGAATTGATGCACATGAAAAAATAGTTAATTGTTAGTAGTTAGTTAGGTCTACGGATCAAAAACCCTCCTCCTCCTAGGGTTTTAAGTCTGATGGAGTAATTATTTTCCCATCTCATCTCTTTTCGTGAGCCAAGAATTCATATTTTGGGGTGAAGACTTTAGATATAAACCAATCAATATCCGAAGTTAAGAAGCCCCAAAACCAGAGCTTTCTGCTAGTTTTCATGGTTTCTTTCATCAATTTGATCCGTGCAAATTTGTGATCTGCCCACTTCAGAAATCTTTAAGAAAAAAAATACACGGGGCGTAAGCAAAACTACGGTTGTTAAACTTGTTAGTTGTTGCCCATCCCTCCTTTGGTGGATCCTGCAAAATGTGAAGCTCCAGCAGCAGCTGTCAAAAAAAAAAGTGTCTTAATCCTAGCTATTCAGTGAATTTCTCTCGAGTGAAAATTAAGAAGGGGCGTAGTGATTCAATTCTGAGGTTTTCTATAACACCAGATCCTGCCATTCAAATTTTATTAATTTTTAGGATCATGACAAACTTTTGTCATGTGAACAGAGCACAAGAGAGAAATAGCTTTCAAACAAGTCTACCAGGAGCGCAGGAGAGAAATTGCTTTCATTTAGCTACCCTGTAAACAAAGAATCTGAGGAAGTAGTAGCCAAGAGAACAATTGATGGAACATCAGGAATCTTGAAGGCTTGCTTGAATTCAAAGACAGTGAAGCGATTTGTTTACACTTCTAGTTTATCAGCAATAGAGTTTCATGAGAGTGGTGTGGACATCATGGATGAGGGATTTTGAAGCGATGTAGATTAATATCAAGACCCTGTGCAAATCGCAATCACCTTTTAATTTCCATCCATTGAATGATGAATATGGCATGAACAGATTAGTGACTCGAGCTCCATTTTCACATCCTCTTTCAAGTTCTTTCTCACTTCAACGCATGAAACTTATTTCTTGTCTTTGTTGCCTGATGCCTGACTCCAAACCATGAGATGCATTTTCTGTATGACAGCGCCAATGACATCTTTGTCTTCGCTTTTTCTAATAAAACATGGCTCCGCTATGTTCATATAGAATATTTTGTTTAAAGCTTTTGATTCTATCTAGAGCATGTTAAATATACGATGAGGATTATTTTTTAAATATTTTTTTATGTTAAAATATATATTAATAATTTTTTTATTTTTAAAAAAATTATTTTTAATATTAGTACATCAAATCAAAACGATCTAAAATATATAAATTATATTAAATTTTAATAAAAATAAAAATAAATTATTTTTTTTTTAATTATATTAAATTTTAATAAAAATAAGAATAAATTATTTTTTTTTAAAATCCAAGTTAAATCACGTTCCCATGCAACCTTTTATAACTTTACTTTGTTTTGTGTTGATCATGTCATGTCATGACATCCTACTTTTGCTGTTTTGCTTCCTCGTTCGTCGATTGTTTCAGCGTACATTGTGAAAATTTCTTCCTTGCTGTTTCCTTCTCAATGCATCTTATAACTTCGAACACGTGATTAGAGGTGGCCTGCATTGGAGTGCGGGGGTCCTAAATAGTAAAATCTAAAATAAAAGGGATTTTAATTTTACCCCTCCTCACAAACCTGCTATGTATTTTTTTTATTTTAATATTGTTTTTATTTTTTTCAATATTATATTTACTAGAATTTATTTGGTATAAAGTTATCTTAATTTATAGATAAATGATCATATTGCAGTTGATTAACTAAAACAACTCCCTGCTAGTATTAGTGATTATTCGATTTTATATATATATATATATCCTAGGTTAGAGTAGTCAAAGGAAGAAAGGTCAAGTGAGCCTATCACATGGACGGCAAAACATTATAAAATTATATTCATTGCTAGAAATATTCTCTGGAGACAGTAATTAAAAAATAATATTCCCTCTTATATATAATATTTCTAGCAATGAATATAATTTTATAATGCTTTGCCGTACATGTGATAGGCTCACTTGACCTTTCTTCCTTTGACTACTCTAATATATATATATATATATATATATTCTTCAAGAGAATGACAACTACTGTGCTAAATAGGTAAAACAGCCCATCATGTGCTCTTAAGCATAAATTGATTAACATTGATATTTCACTTACATTACTTGCAGAGGATAGCATGTTTTTGTGTAGTTCACACACTTTTTGACACTAACCATGACAATTAGCTGTGCAATATTTTAATCCAAAAGCAGATTCACAAACATAGGCATATGACATTTTCTATTTTTCCATTTTCAAATGAAAATATCAAGAGTGTAACAGATTTTTTTGTCAGTACTTTGGAATCGAGACCACAAATCACTATTGCAAACCTTTTTTAACTTCATTATTTATGTCGTAATCTTTTCTCTTTTTTTTTTGCATGTATAAATTTTACAGGAAGTATTAGAGTTTGATCTAAATTTTAAAAATATAAAAAAAATAGTTATTTATTTTTAATATCAAGAATTATAAATTTATAATATATTTTTAATATTTAAAAAAATACAAAAAATATAATTTGGGTTTAGAATAGTTAGGCTTAATTCATGAAACTATGGTCCATATTGTCGGAGTAGACTTACTTTATCCAATAAACAAGCTAACAGTTAAAAGAACACAATAATAACTTGATAATAATCAAATAAACAAAAAATATAATATAGCTTAGTTATAGTATAATAGAGGTAATATTATCCTCTCAATACATAATTAGTTTTTTTTATTCTATTCTGAAAATCAATTATAATTTTTAATATTTAAAATATGTGATGGTGACCCAAACCTTTAAAATTATATATTAAAAAAAAAATTCATCTTCTTTCCGCACTATAAAATTCCTGATCCAGAATAATGACGGCCGGATTGCTGGACAAGTGCAGCAGCTCAGTTGACCAGAACGCTTCGTCCAAGGAATAATGGTTCGAAGGATCCGTACAAGATTTAAAGACTTGCATCGTCATGGCGTTGTGAGCTGTGTGCAAAAGATGGCCAAAGAGTTCAATTGTCGTTAATAAAAAGCAGAGAGCGGCATCCTGCGGTCGACATGCTACTTTTAGCTCCTGTTTCTTTTTATATTTTAAAAAATATTAAATTTTATTTTATTTTTTATCTTCCAATTAATATTTTTATATATTTTTAAATTATTTTAATATATTAATATCAAATAAATTATAAAAAATATTGTTTTCACATATTTCAAATCTAAAAAACACTTTCAAAATTAATTACAATCACTCAAATAGCCCTTACCGTCTAAACAGATCAACCGCTTCTGCAATTTGAAGGGGAAATGTTAGGACAAGAAAATTCCAAGTGATTGCTTGAAAAGTCAAGTAAATGGCAGTTTTTGCTCCAATGCGCCGCGCCCAAAAATAACAATGAAGGATTGACACGTTTCTTTCAGTGGCTACAAAAGCTAGCTAGAGATGGAAGAAGATTCACCACTACCACCACAATATCATTTGAACTCATCTTAATTTAGAGAGAGAGAGAGAGATGGAAGGAGAGAGAGGCAGAGTATGCGTTACAGGGGGGACTGGGTTCGTAGCCTCGTGGCTGATCATGAAGCTCCTGGAGCAAGGCTACTCTGTTAACACGACTGTTAGACCTCACCCAGGTAAGTTCTGTATTCATTTCCTCTTATGTTATGTTAGGACAGATGAAAAATTTCAATATCATAAAATTAATCCATTGAGAAATAGAAGGATTTTGCATGCTTGTAATAAAATAAATTAATAATATATTAATTGATAAATCATAAAAAAAGTTGTTTATGTTAATTTAACATAGATGTTGAAATTTACTTTCATATATTTTAACTAATTTTATAAAATTTAAAATTAATAATTATATAAATTTTTAATAATTATTATATTATTAAGTAAAAGTCTCGAATTTAAAATTACAGGAAAACAAACCATTTAATTTTTAGTATTTTTATCGTTAAATTATTTATTAACTGAATTGGTATGATAAAAATAAAAATTTAATTTTATAAGAAATAAAAAATAGAAATACATTTATGTTTTACCTTTTTTTATTTTTATAAATTTGTTTTTATTTATCTCCAAAGTTAATTTTTATTTTCAACCTCATATAATTTTCATTTTAATCCATACATATTGTAAAAATAACTTATCTATATATAATTTAATATATAAAATTTAAAGATAAATTATAATATTCTCTTTGAAATATTATGAAATTATCAAAATAATTTAAAGATTAATCACTATTTAAAAAAATAAAATAAAAATTTAAAGATTTTCAATATATTAACTTTGTGTTGTATATGTGACTAGAACACAAGAGGGACGTTAGCTTCCTGACGAGTCTACCAGGAGGATCAGAGAGGCTAGAAATCTTCTATGCAGATTTAAGTGAACCCAGCGGCTTTGACGTGGCTATTAAAGGATGTATTGGGGTCTTTCATGTAGCTTCCCCAACTCTAGATTTTGGAAATGGAGAACCTGAGGAAGTAGGTATCCAACGAGCAACTGATGGAACAATAGGAATCTTGAAGGCTTGCTTGAACTCAAAGACAGTGAAGCGAGTTGTGTTGACTTCTAGTGCATCAGCGGTAGTTTATAATGGCAGTGGTGTGGAGATGATGGACGAAGCTTACTGGAGCGATGTTCATTATATCAAAGCCTCAAACTTGCTCCTAGGCCCTTACTTTGTTTCCAAAACTTTAACGGAGAAAAGAGCTTTTGAATTCGCACAAGAACATGGATTGGACCTTGTAACTTTAACCCCAACCTACATTCATGGCCCCTTCATCTGTCCACACATGCCTTTTTCAGTTCGCATTTCCTTGGCAATGTTGCTGGGTAAGTTCTCTTTTCCGAGCTCTTCCTTCTATGGTGTTCTTCAGAAAGCTGTTGGCCTCACGGACATCGTTTCAGGTGATCGGGAACAGTACGGGTCACTCATTAACGCACCCATGGTACACATTGATGATGTGGCTAGGGCACATATTTTCCTTCTTGAATATCCTGAAGCAAAAGGGAGGTATATTTGTTCTAAAGACGCTATAACACTTGAAGAGATGTCTGAATTTCTTTCTGCCAAGTATCCTGAGTACTCAATACCAACATTAGAGTGAGTAATTCTTAGCCCTTAATAATTCTGCAGCATTCTTCACTTGATCTTAAAATCCGAAAGTACGTAGGTGTTAATGTTTCTTTTTCGGCAGATATTTAAAGGATGTTGAAGGCCTTAAAATCCCTGGTTTATCCTCGAAGAAACTAGTCGATTCTGGTTTCAAATTTAGGTACGGGCTTGAAGAGATGTTTGACGGGGCCATTCAATGCTGCAAAGAAAAGGGTCTTCTCTGATTCAATGAATCTAGGACAAACTAGCCGCTTTCCCATGTGCTCCTGCGAGGCGATTGTCCGAAACCTGTTCTTATTTAATGTTGTAATAATGAAGATTTATATCTTAAAGAATCTCAAGTACCTTATGGAATAATAGTTTTATCTAAAATAAATAAATTTTTATAGGAGTTTCAATAGTCTAAATATTTAACAAAAATGTATATCTTCTATTTAAATTTAGTCTCCTTGTTATCGCACTGTATCGTTTGATTGTTTTAATAAAAACATGTTTTTCAACTGTAAAAACATCTTAAAATCAAGTTTTAAAAAAATATTTCAATATTTTATATGTGATCAGCAAAAAAGAAACTAATCAATGTGATACAATTACTTCAAAAGAATTTTAAAAAATAAAAATTTTATTTTAATGGAATATTCATGAATTATTTTTATAACCCAAAAACAAAAAACATAAAACATAAAAAAATATCCACACTTAAGCGTGTGGCCCAACCAAAAAAAAATAAAGTGTATATGGGCTTGTTAAGGTAAGATCACATGTCTGGTTTTTTTTTAAAAAAAAATTGATGATATATATAGTTTGTTAAAATAAAAAAAAAATATAATAATTGATCTAGTTTTTTTGGGTTAAAATTATATTTTAACTTGTTTGACCGAAAAATACTTAAAAAATATTTGTAGAATCTTAATAACCCAATCATCCGACTCTGAATATCTCTAAATTGATTTAAAAACATAAAATTAAATTGAAAAAAACAAAAGTATCTTCATGAATTATTTTTTTGGGTAAGATAAACATCTAAACATTGATGATGCGGTTAGATCATATATCTTCCTCTTTGAATACCTTGAAGCAAGAGGGAGGTATATTTGTTCTTCAGACAAGCTAACAATCGAAGAGATGAATAATCTTCTTTCTGCCAAGTACCCTGAGCGCCCGATATCAACATTGGAGTGAGTAATTCTTATCCTTTTCCCAACATTCAATTTTAGTCTTGAAAATGTAAACAAGTTGTTTGATTTCGTTTTATTGGCAGATATCTGAAGGAGGTTAAAAGTTAGTCTTGAAAATGTAAACAAGTTGTTTGAATTCGTTTTCTTGGCAGATATCTGGAGGTTAAAAGCCTTGGCCATTAGACCCAACTACTGGATACTGGTTTCGAATACAAGTATGGGATTAACGACATGTTTGATGGAGCAATTCAATGCCGCAAGGAAAAAGGTTCTCTCTAGTTCATACTAGGCTTCTATGAAAAAACTACAAGTTCTCCGGTGTGTTCTAGTTCAACAAGAGTTGGATTCGTATTTATAGAAATATTACTGACGTGTATTCTTCGGCCTCCGTGAAACCACCAATACAATTTTCAGTGTCAAACAGTGGAAACCAGATACTGAAAAGGAATAAAATGAAGATTTTGTGGAAGATCCTGTTAGAGAAAACCTTAGGCAACGTTGGTTAACTGAAGAATACTCAATAAAATTTAAATAAACAAATGTCCACCATCATTTGCAAGCACGTACCAATGATATTTTTAATTTCGATATGCACCCCACATAGCCTTCCTTGATGCTTCGGCAGCCTGGGAATCACACCATATTAAGAAATAGTTTACGGAGGAAACGCACCGTAACCTGGCACGGAACAGACCAGGGCTCGATTCTCTGCTGGTGCGATTGTTACCTTTTATTCCCGATCTTCATTTTATACTGAATCAAGCACTGCATTAAGAAGTTGAGTTATTTCCTCGCAAATTCTCAATCCATGCGACCAACATGAGGATCCGTGAAGACTGACCTCGGTCAATATAATTACAGGTTTACAAATTGTGTGATACAAGAACCATTGAGAAGCAGTAAACAGCTGTGTTCAGCAAGCAAGACTAAGCTGGTTCAAAACATTGGAAGGAAAAGGGCATCGCTATATCTAAATTGAACCACTTGCAATTATCCCATGCCAGAAAAAGGAAAGCTACTTTACATTTTGACTGGCACTCTAATCAGTCACAAGCAACAGATATGTTGTACTAAATATAAGTGTTCACTGTTACATCATAAGCATGGAAAAGTACTGCTCAAATTCTTGATCAATGGTTGGTTTTCTGAGGCCTGATTGAGCATCTGCAATCAAAGTAAATGACATCAAGTTAAATACAAATGCAGGCAAATACTATTCAAATTATGTTGTCATTTAAACAAGCAAAAGAGGACAGAGATAAGATGGCATGGTTTGAACCCATGAATTTGCAAACCACAGGTATCCTGGCAAATTAAACTACCTTGGCTGACGGCCCATCCTTCAGATGAAAGGACATGGCCATTTAGATTCAACTCATTGGAATAGAGAATGTCATCAACTTCTTTATCTGTACATGGCTCAATGTTGTCAGTCCCAAACTCAGAGCAACCGTAATTTAAAGGGCTTTCAATTTCTAGGATGGGCTCTTCAAGACTCTGATATACTTGCAGTCCATCATAATGACAGCAATGATCATCCTCCCCTTCCACAATAACCAATTCCTCTTTTCCAGCATGTCTTGGAGCTGCAGCTTTATCTGGAGAATATTGCGTATCCTTGAGACTGTTGCCCCAGTTATATGATGAAGTTGAGGGCCTGTCGGGTGACCATATCTTTGAAACCTCCATCTCCAATTTAGTTTCGCCAGACACAGACATGGCAGAGTCAGAATCTCCAACAAAGCTATTGCTATCTTTAGCTGATTCAGGATCTGATCCTTCATCAATGGCCCGTCTTTCAGCATTTTCCTTGATCATATGTGTGATTAAGTCTTTCTCTTCTTGATTTTCTTCATATATTGTGGAAGTTTCAAGAGGTAAGCGATGATCCCAGCATTTATGCTTTGGAATGGGCAAGCCTAATTGCTCATCCTGCAACTTCCTTTTCTTGTTTAAGCAAAACAATTTGGAGTTGGGTGCTTCTTTGAACTGGAAGCTGAAAGCAAAAGTGGAAAAAATATAAAATATAAAAAGAACACCATACGACGAGTAAGAAGCTGTTTTTCTGATAATATGGACAAGAAGCAAAAGTACATGATAATCAATTTGGATAAAAATGCACACTAAGGAGATGAAGAAGTTTCCATTATTGCTAACCACAAATACGAGAAGATGCTCAAAACATAATTCTCTCCTCCAATTCCATCTTACTACGGAGACTAGGTAAAAGCATTAGATTCATATATTCTAAGAACATCTCTTTTTAATGAATAAATAATACATCGACATAGTTTCAATCCTATTCAATAATTTAAATTCTTTAAGCATTTAAGTCCCAACAAATAATGCAAATGAATGGATTTTTGACAGAGAAGCTACAAACTAAGGAGACAGAAAATTAAAACCTAGCCTTGAACCAAAACAAGCTGCCGCTAACCTTGTTATCTATATGTTTTATACATTTTCTCGTCCAGGATCATACAAAACAATAGCTGAATTTCTTTTAGCCGAAGAAAACAGAAAAAAAAATAGCAAGAAATATTAAAATCTATTCAATTGCGCCACCTTACTCTATATGTTCAGTAATTTTGTATAGAACTGCAAGAAATGTTTGAGATACTAGCTTAACTACTTCAATTTAAACAGAAATAAAAACCATTCCTTTGATGTTCAAACAAAGATCGTTTCTACAATATTACAAAAGGAAAAACAATTGGCACATTTCAGCTGATTTATGCAACAATAAAAATCAAACCACAAGTCTCAACATGCTTCCTTCACCAAATCTGAGGTTTCTTCCAGGAGAAATGGTGATTAAAAAGCAAGGGAACCAAAAATTCAGGAAGCAAACCTGTTAATCCCAGATAGGTCATCGCTATCTTCATCCATATCAGGCAGAGAGACAACGAAATGAGATGGGACTGTGAGATTATAACTAACAGTGGTGATCCAACTGGATGCGCCACTATGGAGCGTGTCTTGCACGACCTAATAGGAACCGGAGCTCTGGCATCACTAAAAAGGTTACCGTGCCTTCCTTCGTGACATCGGTTAATTTTTTTTAATAATAATAAAAACTACTAGTTAATTTATTAATTCTTAATAAACTTAGGTAATTTAATATTATAATTATAAAAAAATTAAAAAAATTAAAACATAAATGTTTATCAATATTATTAAAAAAATACCTTTTAAATAATATTAAAAGATTTCAATAATATTATTTGAGAACAAAGTAAAAGTTCAATATGAATGAGATAATATTATTATAAAAAAAAATATAAAGCTTAATTAATAATAAATAAAATATTGAAGAATGAACTAAAAAATAAAAAAATTTAAAAAAAATAATAATAACTTGAGTCATCATGTTAAATTCATTATTTGATCATGAAATCATAATAATTCTGCATAGAAGAAATTGAATTAAAAAATAAAAATTTATTATCAAGCAAACTAAATAATGAAAAGTGAAAATGAGAAGAAATAAATCAATTTAAAAAAATTATAAAAAACCTTGTGTGAACCTAAGTTAATTCATGACTCATAATATGAAATTATAATAACCACACAAAAAAAAAGCAAAAACAATCATGAAACTCATAGTCTAATAACTTAAACAATCATGAAACTCATAGTCTAATAACCTAATGTTAAATGTTAAATGATTAGATTTAAAAATAAAAACCTTAAAAAAAGACCAAAGTTTAACTTGGGTAATTTTTAAAACCTGTAATCCATATTATGAGACCAAGATTACCTCATAGAAGAAAAATACAAAAAAATCACATAGTAAAATTCCTAATCATCCAAGATTAAAATAAAAAATAAATAAAAATTAAAAGAATAATGAACAAATTGTATAAAAAAATAAAATAAAATAAAATGTTAAGGAAAAAATCTTTAAGCAGTCTTAAAATAAAAACAAATAACAATAAAAAAGTCAAAATCAAAATTGATACTAATACAAATTGATAGGACACATTTAATTTTTTAAAGGACTGGTATGAAATTCGAGATGAAAAAAAAGAAAAGAATGATGAAAAATAATTCATTATAACTCAATTGCTACTCTCTTATGAAGAGAACAACAAGATACTTTCAATGTCATCACGGAAGGTGGCATTTGACTATTAGAAAGAGTCAAACATGTTACTCAAAGAATCTGAGTACCTCACACTCACTAGTGTATACAACGTATATTTTAATAACTTTTATTTTTTTTATTTATATTTATATTTATTAAAAAACTTGGTTTCCTCTTATTTAAATTAATTATAACTAAAAAATCATAATGAAACAATAAAATTTTTCCTAGATATTGATTTTTATTTTTCACTTTTAAAAGTAATATAGTTATTTTACTATGTAATTAAAGCGTTAAAAAACAAAATGTCCCTTGAATTCCAATTTTAATTTTGTTTGCCTTTAAGGTTATTTAAGTTATTTTATTATGCATCTAAAATACAAAAACTTTAATTTATGCTTAATCAATATAATAATAATAAGTGCACCTTATGAACAAAATAGTTTTTCCCTCTCATAACTAGTTAAACAATTTTGTTTGAGAATGAAATGTGAATGTATAGTGAATGACTCGAGCTTTTTTTTTATATAATGACTCAGACACAACATTATTTCATATCATATAGAACTATTGAAGGATGACACGAGCTTCATTTCACCATGAATCCAAATATTTGTTTACTAAAACCTACTTATAATCTCCTTTTTAAAAAAAAAAAACATGAAAACAGTATAAAAAAAAAACTTTTATAAATTAATATTATCTATCCACTCAATGTTCCAGAAAAATATGTTCCAGAAAAATGAAGGACTCGAAAATTAAAAAGAAACAAAAATGTTTATTGATTTCACTATAGACCAAGAAACAAAATACCAATGACTGTAATAGTTCTTTACAATATAATTTTTTTTTATCACTTAAATTATTTTTTTAATTTGATCTTCTGTATTTGTATTGAGTTGATATGAGAATGAGTTTAATAATTTATTTTAGTTGTTCTAGATTATATGTTCAATCCCTTTTTAATATTTTTTTGTCACTCAACTTTTTTTTTTCATTTAGAGTCTTTCCTATGATGTTTAGGGGGATTAAACTTGATGATTTATTTTTTTTTAATTTGATTTTGAGTTCTTAGAAAAATTTTCAAAACTCAATTAATGATAGATGTGGCAAAATAAAATGCAATTTTATTGATTTGAAATATTTGAATTTTTAGGAACCGAATTTGAAATTGAAAGAAATGCTCAAACTCTTTTTTTTTTTTTACCAAACCACATACTAAAATGGAGAAGTAGATAACGTGTGTAATAAGTGAAGGAGGTTGTCATATTATGGTAACGTGTGTGTCTTCCTCCAACCTCCAATGGTTGAATTTCTTGGTATCATTGAAATCTTCTCAATTAGAGCTTTCTTACGAGGTAGCACACGACGATGGCAAGGCTCCAACCCGGTGACTAATTTTTTTATTTTTTTATTATCCTCTCTCTTCTCTCTCTTTGATTTTTGTGATTTATCCTTTCTAAAATAACAAATTAACAAGTCAATTTTTTTTTGTTAAATTTGGTCTTTGCTATTTAATTATTATTTTTAGCAATAATTATAGTTTGTTTTTGTCAAATTGAAGCTCAATGAACCAGTAAATGTTGTTTGAAATCATGAATGTGAGAGACAATATGAAGGGAAAGATATATTAGAGGAAAAAATGAAAATGCAACATATGTTGAATATGCAATCAACTCTTGATTGCAATGGTTATCGGCTATATTTTTATTTTTAATTTTATAATCATTTTATTTTTATTTGATCCTTTTATATTGATTGGATTTGAAATTAAACTTGATGACTTATTTCAATTGACTTGATGAATGATCCTCATGATATTAATAATAAATTTTGATATTGATTTAATGCTTGATTTAACAAAATAATATTTAATTATATTAATTCAAAATAATTGAAACCTTTAAGTAACAGATTTGAGACTAAAATATTTATGAATCTATAAATTTAGAAAAGAACCCCCTCCTATTATTATACATATACACACGGCACACTTGCACACTGAATTAGGCTCATATTCTTGGAAAATTCATAATACAATGATGCAGCTATTGATCAAAGATATCTGGGAAAATAGGATATGCAATCCGGGTATGATAATGAAGGCAAAAAACACAAAATTGCTTCATTAATTTATTGTTCGATGTTACAAATCTTACAATTCTAAGTTATAAGCGTTCATGTAGGTGAGATCAAGGATTCGAAATCCTTGTTTATACATAATGTATTAATCGTCTGTGAGCTCTACATTATCCTGAAATTCCCCAAAACAAGAGCAGGACAAAAAAATAAAGACACGGAACTGCACTTTGCTATACCAAATTGCTTCCCAAACTGATTCGTACTTGATCCGGCCACTCACATCACTTTGCCTTCCTCAAATATAGCAGACAACAGCCTTTCTTAAGACTCTTGGTTCTATGGTTGCGCGGTGGTAATTCAAGGGCCACGCCAAATAAAACGTCTACAAGTTGGGGCAGATAAATGGGGGCTGAACGACAGCATCTCAATATCAACAATCATCCAGCCCTGCAATTGCTAATGGAGTTACACTGATACATAATGTATCTTGATTATCTCACGGATGCACTGTTCATACTATCATAGGCTGTACGGAAGCGGAGACCTGAACCAATATGTCCTGATGTTGGGCACCCCCAGCAGAAGATACTTGGACCCAAGACCTAGAGCAGTCCCCCAAAAAAAAAAAATTGAGTCAGTTCATGAATTGACATGCAGAATATAATTGTCCCAATCCTTAAGTGTCAGCTAAATTTATACTACTTTAACAAATCATACACCACAATTCGAAAGGCGGTAGCTAACCAGAATTGTCTAAACAGGCCAATTTAGCCAAGCTACAGGGCCTTGACACGGTAACATAAGTTGGGCAAACATAAACCATACCTAAGAAGCTCAAATTGGTCCAGACAGCTGCCACAGCTGGACATGGAGCAATTAAGCATAGCCTGTCTCTAGAGTGGGTCACCTTTCTAGCTTTAGTGGTTCTGCAATTTGATGAGCTACTTGCAGCTCATGTGGTTGAACCAAATAGGTCTTGCAATTGATGTGGTGGAACCATTTAGCTTAAGTTGAATGGACTACAGAGGTGCTGTGATACACAACTCAACACAGTAGAAAGTCCCAAGTTTCAAGGACCTGGAGCATGTGGAGACTAATAGTTTTCATCAAGAAACCAAACAACTTGAATTTATATCCACTTTGAATAAATGTGGAGTGCTTCAACCAAGATGGACACTAAAACATCACACATGATCATGACTGTGTAAACACGCTGGGATGCAGGATGCATCTACACAGAAACAGCAACCTGAAAGCTATAAAATACATTCAAGCCTTCTCATGTTCCTCGAGAGATTAAATCAGTGTCATTTAAGGAGAAACGACAATAGGGGTAAAGTATCAGCACAGAGGAGATGAAAACCAACTATGGTAAAATTTTCCAAAGATGCATCATGTCAATCACAAATTTTTCAGCCAAGAAAAAAAAAATAAAGAAAAGGGCACAGTGTTCTCACCGTTGTCAGATTTTCATAAGCACCCACATCATATGGGTGCTTATAGACATGCCCTCCTTTCTCTGCTAGCCACATAGCTCTCACCCCTTCATGGTACTATCAAGATACCATAAAAATTTAGGAATAAATCAGGCATTAGAAAAGTTATGAAACAATAATTTATTAATTTCCAATAACCTCGATAGTGGTTTTGTTTTGCAAAATGAGGTACACATGCCAACCCAAAAGAACACCAAGTGCCACACTTAACGGAACTAGCAACAGCCCAGAAATGACCTGCAATAGTAAAGTAATGCGCTGAGTTTAATGTATTATGTACTAGCAGAAAAAATGAGATTTATGGAGACAAACAT